GTGGTGAATTTATCGCATCTGTTGTCACCTGATATCGTTGAATGGTGTAATGTTTCTTTCAGCTCTCATTTTATCGCGCTAGTTAGGGTCTAAATTATTACTTGCATTGTGCGTATATATATTGAGTTAAGAGCTTTTGTTGATTTGCCAGTAATCCTCTGAGATGGCGACGAAAATGTTTAGGAACAAGCTTCTTTATTTACATGAAAACAAGTTTTGCTTATGGTGTTTGTACTGAGTGCGCAGCTTACTCTATTTATTGCGTTGATTATTATTATTATTATTATTCAAAGGATCAGTCGGGGAAGTGAACTGCCTGAAAAGAGAAAAAAACGCCAGACCCACCAGGACTCGAACCTGGGACCCTGCTTGTCATGAGCAATGCTCTAACCACTGAGCTATGGGACCAGGCTGAACCCAGAAGGCGCTGACAAGTGTTTCACTCCAAAGGCAGCTCACAACACGTGCCACACATACTGATGGCACTTGGGTCTTTTTCCCTCCCCCAGGGGACCAACCACGGTCAGTTTCTGGAAACTACCAGAGGTGAAAGAAAGTGATTAAATTTGGAAAGGATTGGGAGAACTTCAAATTCAAAGGATCAGTCGGGGAAGTGAACTGCCTGAAAAGAGAAAAAACGCCAGACCCACCAGGACTCGAACCTGGGACCCTGCTTGTCATGAGCAATGTTCTAACCACTGAGCTATGGGACCAGGCTGAACCCAGGTCCCAGGTTCGAGTCCTGGTGGTTCTGGCGTTTTTTCTCTTTTCAGGCAGTTCACTTCCCCGACTGATCCTTTGAATTTGAAGTTCTCCCAATCCTTTCCAAATTTAATCACTTTCTTTCACCTCTGGTAGTTTCCAGAAACTGACCGTGGTTGGTCCCCTGGGGGAGGGAAAAAGACCCAAGTGCCATCAGTATGTGTGGCACGTGTTGTGAGCTGCCTTTGGAGTGAAACACTTGTCAGCGCCTTCTGGGTTCAGCCTGGTCCCATAGCTCAGTGGTTAGAGCATTGCTCATGACAAGCAGGGTCCCAGGTTCGAGTCCTGGTGGGTCTGGCGTTTTTTTCTCTTTTCAGGCAGTTCACTTCCCCGACTGATCCTTTGAATTTGAAGTTCTCCCAATCCTTTCCAAATTTAATCACTTTCTTTCACCTCTGGTAGTTTCCAGAAACTGACCGTGGTTGGTCCCCTGGGGGAGGGAAAAAGACCCAAGTGCCATCAGTATGTGTGGCACGTGTTGTGAGCTGCCTTTGGAGTGAAACACTTGTCAGCGCCTTCTGGGTTCAGCCTGGTCCCATAGCTCAGTGGTTAGAGCATTGCTCATGACAAGCAGGGTCCCAGGTTCGAGTCCTGGTGGGTCTGGCGTTTTTTTCTCTTTTCAGGCAGTTCACTTCCCCGACTGATCCTTTGAATTTGAAGTTCTCCCAATCCTTTCCAAATTATTATTATTATTATTATTATTATTATGCACTTACGCGTCAATGTCAGCGGTGGTAAACCGCCCACAAATTCGCACGTGCTAAATGGACTTGGGAAATGAGCACCGAGCATTCCGTGCGGCATGGAAATAAAAGAGCAACGGCAACAGAAATAGAAATACAATAACAAGACGTACCTGCTAAGGGGCACATGACAGCATTGCTCAGATTGAACAGAGGATGCAGACACAGAATATAGGCGGGCATGGTGAAGAATAGCTAGAGATTTGTAGTTTTTTCTTTCCATGATAAGCTTCCTGTCTCCAAGAAAGTTTTAAACATTGCCACAAAATAAACAATGTGTGAACTTACGACAATATATTGAGTGCTACTACATGTTTCATTTGACTACACAGAACATTGTGAACTAAGTAAACACTTTGTTTTAAATGTTATACTCGCTCATTTCTCGCGTGCCTTCAGACTCATTTTCGAGAAGCAGTAGATATGTGGCAGTGCCGGAGAATGCGTGGAACACACTAGCATTGCTAGGGCTGTAGCACTCAGTCTGGCAGGCGTCCGGCCGTGGCCTGACCTTAATTCGAAAAGGTTGACTCACCTAATTCGTGCACACATGTACAGGTACATACAGATCTAGGGCTTAACCCTTTAAGAGCCGCCCCATACTTGAATGCGTCGTAAACGACGCATTCAAATGCAAAACTTCAAAAGATCGTAACTCAGTTCAATCTCGCTCAAATCCAGTAATCGAAATATCCAGGACGAAGAGAAAACTCTCACCTGTCGGGAGAAACAATCCGCGAAGAGCTGCGAGCAACGGTGCCTGAGATAAATCACTAGTAAGTTGAGCCGCGATCGCGGCAATTTCAAAGCGTGCAGTGCGACTTTAGTATTGAGAATTTTGAGACTTTTCGTCACGCTGGTTTACTCGAATTTGCACGGGTTTCACTATTGATATTGTCAAGAGTACACAGCGAAAAAATTGAAACTCCACGATCGAGTAAAATGAAATATCTGGAGCGGGACGCAATTGGACGCATATGGGGCATTTTTCGTACTGTCGCTGCGATCTAGCGCTGGATAGACGGTGTGCTGGCTATCATGATCAACCTCATTCTCTTCCTCTCGCGGAGACCTTTCCAGGAAGCCCTAGATTGTGAGGATTGAGTGAGTAGAACTGAAGCTATGATCCAAGGAACACGAAAAAATGCAGAATTTTGAAAATTTCCTGTGGCTCTTTAAGGGTTAAAACCAGACAGTCCCTGATTGAAATGTTGAAATCACAGTGCTACTGCCTTGATTGTGTATGGTTAGTTGTAGTTCACAGCAGGAAGGAGTAGAGCTATGTCTGTAGCTGGACTTCTACGATATCACTGCGAGAGATGTTGGCAATGCAGGTAGTCAAACACTCGCTGTTGTGAAGTTTTGCATCATCCAGTTGGGATCATTGTGTGTACAAGAACTCACTCATCTCAAGTTGTGATATTAGTTTTTTCTTTTGAGGTTTTTCTGAAAACATTTATGCGGTTCCAGGAACTTTCACTTGTTTGGACAAGGTTGCGAAAATCATCAGTTGCAAAACATTTTTTCATCTCGGAAAGGCCTAGCATGTGCGCGCGCGCGCGTGTGTGTATGCTTGTGTGCATGCGTGTGTGTGTGTGTGTGTGTTCACGTGTGTGTGTGTGTGCATGAACTCACAGTCGTCCCCGTACGCAAAATGCGTACGCAATTAGATTCACCGTACATTTCCTCGTGTTTTGGGCGAATCTGAGCGGTACGACGCAGTCGAATTGGGCCTGAATTTGCCCTGAACCAGCCTCTATCGAAGTAAAATTAGGTGTTTTGGAGGCTACATGGGAACACTGCGGCGTTTGTTTGTTTTTGAGCTCGTAGTTTCGTCTTCGTTGTGGAATGGCGTACATTCTCCTTGGTATTACCAAAGTTACACCCCCGTTTCTTACATTACTAGGAGTTTTGCCGGCAGCAACGGTAGTTTTTATCCCTGCTTCCATACGTCCTTTCATCGAACAGCCAAGCGAAACTTTGTGGCGCTCCTTAGTTTTTTTTGTGGCGCGGGGTCTCAAGTTTGTCACTTCGAGTTGTACACAACCACCACATGAGCACCTCGAAGGACCAAAAAACCAAGTGAGCAAAGTATTTCAACATTGCGATTTTGCCTGGCCTGCTGTGAAGATGGAGACTTCTACTCGGTACCAGATACTCGTATCAATAAGCTGGGAGGGAGAGCGTGGCGAGTAAAATGTTGGAATGAAAGGAGCCACATTCTCTCTCGGAAAAGGTCGTTGTTCCTACACTTTTGCTCTACCCAGATCTGCAGAAGGCTAGATTTTGCATGCACGTGTGAGATTCGCATCTGCCACGCACATGTTGTTGTTGTTTCTTTATTTTACTTCACCGTATGAACAGGCAAGACTGCCTTCTCACCGGGGCTATTGGCCCACGGCTCTCACAATATGATGGGCAGAGTCGAAATTTTTGTACTCTCGGATTTACCGCCATCTTGACGAGTGGCCACTGTGCGTGTGTGTGTGCATGAGTGTGCATGCATGTGCGTGTGTGTCTGTGCATGTGTGTCTGTGCATGTGTGTCTGTGCATGTGTGTCTGCGTATGTGTATGTGTGTGTGACCCGCCAGCTAGTTCGGTTGATGTAATATATTATTCCATATATTTAATTTACCAAGCGAACAAGCAATGGTGCCTTCTCACCAGCCAATGGCTGGCTCTCACAGATTGATGAAAAAATTATAGATTATTGATTAGTACATAGCAGACTCAGCGGAGGACGTTCAGGTTGGTTGTAACTCTGAGTTTCATGCCGCTAGGCAATCATCAGACAACTGATCATCAGTTGTCTGATGATTGCCTAGCGGCATGAAACTCAGAGTTACAACCAACCTGAACGTCCTCCGCTGAGTCTGCTATGTACTAAGCTCTGTCTCTGACATTGAGCACTCTCTGCAGCTCGGGGATCAACGGATTTTGTTTAGATTATTGATTATAACGGTACCTTAAAAAAAAGGTTGGTGGGTACACATATTTCCGATAGTGTTGGGTCTGTTGTCAATAGGCTCGGCTGCTTGAATGTATAATGTTGTACCTGCAACCTTCGTTGGTTTCAGGGTTTATATGCTATCTTTTTGAAGTACACATACATATTGACCAATGGACTACTTCTGGCTAGAGTAACTCCTATTGTAATCAATGCTGCTAGTGAAGCACTAATCAGATCCACTCTGATTTAGCCGCCAACACTAGTATGAGAGCGTATGCGCCTATGATGTGTTCATGAGCCGTAGCTAATGCATAGTCGGTATCACCCTTTCACGGATCCATGCAACAGGGGGATGCATCACTTCCTAAATTGGCGTATGGGATCACTCCGTATAATTATCTGTGTTGAGGAACACCTCCCTTTTGTAAACCTAAGCACACATAGATGTTGCGGGTCTACCTTAGTTCAGTACCATCAACATCAAACAATTGTTATCATTATCTCATTTGAACATTGCCAATCTCTCCTTTGCTCTGAAACACAG